TGAAATGAAACATAAATTATGGAGAAAAAGCATATTATCTGTTAAGCTGACCATAATAACTATCTTGTAAAATTCGTGTTACTTCTGTCACGTTTCCAATTTGTATACAGGTTTTTTTGGCACCAAAGTGAATTCTCTGTATGTATATTAAATATACTTAATGTGCCATGTAAACTATAATAAGGGGTTGTTTTAGAGGGAAGACACCGAAAGCAATTAAGGATTTATGTTTCTTAGCAATTAAGGATTTATGTTTCTTATGCAAATTTACTTTGGCATCTTTAATGATGATTAATATTTTTCTCAAATATGTATATTTACACCTGATCTTTTAATTTTTTTTTAGCTGGAACAATATCTGGAGAAGAGATTCCTGTTGTTTCCAAGGTTAATATTAAGGAATATAGAGACAGCTTCTCCTGTGAAAAATTTAACTTTCGAAGCAACCCAAACATCACTTTCTATGTCTATGTCAGCAATTTTTCCTGGCCAATCAAAATACAGGTTAGTGACTGCTTTGTGCTTTTAGAGATGTTTTTATTTCAGCTTTACTTTGAATTTAATGATTTCAGTCACACAGAAAGTATATACAAATAGAGTTATTTGCATGCTGTGTTTTCTGTGTATAATAATTCTATTATGAGGGCACTGTGCTTTTAGTAGCGAGTCACGCTTTAGGCTGTCAGTTTTAAAATCTGAATTTAAATTGTTGAACTACATGTTTAATTGTAATATAACTTCAGCATTTAGATGTAAACAGAACATGGTACACAAATCTGTGGGCACCTGGGTATTTGAATGTAATCTTTTGATAATGAATAGCTTTTGAAGCCCCTGATTTTTTTAAACGTTGAGTGACTGTATCAGATTGCAATACCACAGACTTCAGTTTAGACTAAGTATAGTTTATTAGAATTTATGTTCTTCTTTGACTTCATTGGAATCAATTTCATTCGGTATTTTCTGGAGCACTGAGATACTGTGCAGTAGCACAGTCAAAAAATCAATGCAATCATGATTCCTCCCTGGCCTGTGAAGTTCCAGCAATATTTATTCTGATGATTACTATGGCTGCACTTGTGAACACAGCGTCCCCTGCATCAATGAAGGAGATTCTTAAGTGGATGAATGGCTTTTGACTATAACTCCCTTACAGAATTAAGTCTTAAAAATTAAATTGCTAAAATGATAATAAAATTTCATAATTCCCGATGATTTACTTCAGAAACAAGTGCAAGCTGAAAATATTTTGCAGTTAACCATACAAACACCCTACAAAATTTCCATTTTAGTGGGAAAAAGCTTCCACATTTTTGTAAAATACAGAACCTAAATTTATATCTCTGTATATAAAAATTTATGTAAATATATATAGGAATATAAATACAAATATAAATACAAAAGCATGTTACAAAATATATGTTTACATAAAGTGTCCTAGATTAAGGCAGTTGTTTTCTGAGTAAACTGTCAGAGAAATGTTTTTGTTGTGTTATGTAAAGCTAGAGTTGTCTTCATAATACCTGATCAGTGACTATAAATATGTGTTTATGGTGTTGAAGGATGAATTTATGCAGCTTGCTAACATTCTTGAATGTACTAATTTATTAAAAAACCCCAACAAACACTGAAGACTAGCTGCTTGATTTTACTTTTCATATTAGGGCTGTTTTTTACACTCTCTCCCACTTCCTAAGGATTGAACAACTTCATCTGCCAAACAGGCTTAAACAAATCCATGGAGTAATTTCAGGTGTAAACGCATTACCCTCTCTCACCTTTGTGGCTGCAAGGTGGCTGTATTGCCATTGTAGGACAAACATTATTAAGGTGATGCATTCCTGAGACGTGCAGCTCTGTGGCACATGCTGGCAGATCTCAGCTCCTTCTTGTGCTGTTTCCACAGCAGCTCAACACCCTGGTGAAGGGAATCCCTGATCATTGCTTACATCCTTCCTCTTTGTTTTTTGTTTTTTAAATCGGAATTTCCATTGTCTGCTATGCTTACAATTGCTTTGTATTTCTTTTTGAGGTGTATTGACATGAATCAGTCTAGAGAGTTCTGCCTCAGAGGAGGTGGTGCTTGACTATTGCATAGTCTTATTCCATCTAGAAATTAGGTTACTCAATTTTATGCACCAAGAAAGGAAAGCTAAGGTCCTATTGGGTAAACCGTATTAGGATTTTAATTTTCTCCTCTTTATTTTCCATCGTAAATGAACAGGTTTTTATTTAGCTCTCAGACTTTTCTGTGCTCTAATTTCTTTTCAAGAAAATACCTGAAGTTAACATTGCCCCTATAGGTTTCTTGTTTTTGGTGCTCTAGCATTAGATAACATCTTCAAATTAAAAATGGAATAGGGAGCTTTTCAGAGAAAACAAATTTTGTTTTATATGCTAACTTTATAATTCTGCATGTAGTATTCTGCATATACTTTTAAAAGTATATGAAACCTTCTAATACTTAGGTTTAAGAGCAGGAAGTCATGGTTCATTCCAATCCAGAGGCTGAAGTTTCCAAGGCCAGTACTAAATCAGGTCTAATAGTTATGATCTTCTCCATCTTCATCACAACATACCAGATTTCACCTTCATAACAGGCAAAAGTGGTTGATATTTGTCTATTTGCACTGCAGTCCTTTTCTGAAATAGCCACACTGCATTAGCCATACCACGCTGGGAAAAACCTGGTGTTTTGTGTTAACTCACTGCTGAAGGCCATATTTAATCCTGCTAGACCTAAGGAAATTATTATGGCTTCCCTGAGAGGTATTCTGTTCATTTAATAAGCAAGGTAACAACAAGAAATTTGACACATGCCTTTTACACAATGCTTTTGTAGAAGACTAAGTACTCCAGCACACTGAGCATTTTTCAAGTACAGTCTGAGTACCAGTCTTCCTGTATTTCCATTATTCATCACAACTTGTCAAGAATACATTATATAAAACATGAGTTCCTAAGGAGGCAGAACTAGTGACCTTACCTCCTTTTAAACTGGTATTTGAAGCTGTGTTATTGATGTTTTTACCAATGGTGTTATTGGTATGTACTTCAGCCCCCTGCTCTTGTGCCTCCTGATATGCTGGAGCTGAGATTTCTGGGATCTTTCATTGGGAGGATTTGGGTATTGGAGTTACTGCTCTTTTCTTTTTCTATAGGAAAAGAAGCAGCCCTCCTCATTATACAAGACATTTAGGTTCACTTTCTGTTAAGGTCATCTATATTCTCTCTGGTTTTGCATTAATTTATCTCCAAGATTTTCATGACTATAAGGAAAAACTGTCCATCCCAGCAGGTGATTGTTTATTGGGATCAATGGCTCACAGCTGCTTCCTCAGGTAGTTTTATTATTCATGTTACCTATTCAGCAAGCTTGGATTTTTTTTCTAAAATGTTAATAAATTAGCCAATGTTAATAAAGCCACCCTGGTGGCTCTACAACAAAATATCTTCTTAAGAAATATGATTTCTTTGCCTTGAAAAAGGAATATGTCATGATCGGTGTCAATAAAAATAGTTCTTTAAGGTGTATTGGTCTGTGATAGGCAGTGACCCATTTTATTGTTGTCACTGGTGATCCTAATCACCTCAGAATACAAATTCTTCAGCACTGGATAGCAGTGAATTACTTGCCAAGCATAGAAACTATATAGGAAATTCTCAGTTTCTTTCAGCTGTACTGCTGCTGTCTTTATTGAAATGTACTGCAGGTTCCCATCAGCCAACACCCTTCTGCCATGGGCACACAGCCAGTGATCTCTGCAGCCCTTGGGGGAAAATGCTGCATTTTAATTTCCTCATGCTAAAGGCATCCTATTTAGCTGTAAAATCTCTTCTTCCTTGAGGCAAGAGGCAGAAATGTGACATAGCTGCATAAGGGTCATTAGAAAGGTGGTGTTGTGGGATATCTTCAGCTTAGAGCTGTTTCCACAATAGATCTACTGTCTATTGACCTGGCTGTAAAATGGGCAGGGGCCAGTTTTTCCTCAGGACTATGTATTAGGGCACACAAATGCTGGATATTTCCCTGCTGAATTACTGTAACAGCTTACACTACAACTTTTGTCCATTTCCTGTAATTCAGAGTTGCTGATGAATAAGGATGGATTAAGGCCCTTAAACTTAACTTGCCAAACTTTCGTAAGCAACAGTAGCTTATGCATCTTTTCAGAGAAAATCTGTATAAATTACGTTTGTTACAGATGTTAACACAAGTGTCTCAAGTAAGAGGATGTGATTTTTCATCCCAACTTCCATTTGACTGTCTTTGACAGCCCCAGAACTTTAGGTGTATTGTGTCTTATATATCAGTTAAACAGGGCTCCATCACAGAATGTTCTGGCCTTAAAATAGGCTAGATTTCTGAACAGAATATATGACAAAGCCCCATAACTTGTTTCTGCTCATTTTTATTTTATTTTGAGAGTCAGTGCAATTCAGACTCCACTGGTAATGGAGTTTGAAGGCTGTAACATTTA